CATATTTATGTGTGTGTGAATGTGTATATATCTTTTAATGCCTTTTCACAATTTATATTTGATTGTATTCTTCGCCAATACTCGTGGATTAGGGAGGCGCATGTCCATGAGGCACTCAAACACTCTAAAAGCAAGCAAGCCATTCTCAATTGGCTCTGTGTTCACGTGCCAGAAGACGATCTGCCGCTCAAGTGGCGACCTGTCAAGTATGCGTCAGTTGACATTCTCTGTATAATTTAAACATGTCAAGTATTTATCAGTTGGCACCTTTTGTATTGTTTAATCATGTCGCTTGTTTGTGCACAAACCTTTTGCTATCCTTAATGTAGTAGATAACAAATAATGTACATGGGTCTATATTTTCATGTGTAAGTATTTGTGCGTGCCTTTGTCTACCATGATGAACAAACGGTGCACTCAATGTGTATCTACCGTAGTATCCTAACTAAGAATAGGGAAAAGGTCATACATTTAGTCAGCGGAAGGTATATGTGTATATAGTTAACACACGTACCTAAGACTGCGGGGAAGGTCATACATATATCGGCGTAAGATATATCTGTATATATTAAACATACCTTTCCAAGATTGGGGGAAAGATCATAGATTCACTCAGCGAATGGTGTACATGTTTTCTATGCGTACTCACTATATACATGCTGCTGTCTGTGGTTATAACCTTGTTATAAAATAGGTTGCCTGTCAGGAAGCTCATCTCCACATTCCTGCGGGTCTGTAACAGATTCGATGAAAAGTCGTATAATCTCTGCCTGCGAAGTCACAAGTTTACACCTGCATGCCTATTGGCATCACAATACATCGTATAAACCCCGGACCCTATAACCCTAAAACCTCAAAGCCCAAAAACCGTTAGACCCCATAATCCCAAAACCCTACATACCTAAAACTCGACACTCGAAACCCTATCTTTGTGCAGATACGATGCCATAACAATGGGAACACACACGGCCGAGTCTCTGTCTATTAAATTGGCGTTAGATCGGCTGTCGTCGCTAGGCTTTGATCGTGCACTGTGTGAGACTGCACTGGCCAGCAATGCAAACAACGAGGACGTAACTCTGCGCGCACTCATAAAACAACTCATAGCGGCTGCATCGGATCCTGAAGAGGTATTTTATATATATATGTATATATATATATATATATGATGTGTGTGTTTGAATGTGTGTTGGCTTGGAGGCTCGTTGCCTCACCTTATATACGTCGTTTGTAGACGGGGGTTAGTCGTGCCGTGTATTGGAGTGCACTGCAAAGCCATGTCAATAGCGAATAGTTTGTTTTTTTTGCACACCCAAATTAGGCTGTTACTTGCTTCTGCCGCTGTGTCGCAGGAGCTATGCGTATGTGCGTCATACTATGACCAGTACCAGTGAGAATCGCTGCAGTACCGATGTCAATAGGTTGGGGGTTTTGTGTAGGTTTTCTAGGGTTTTCTTCTATTGCTAAGGTGCACATACTCGAGATTTATCTATTGAGTATACTCGCTTACAGTTGACATGAGCGCACGGGTTGGTTTTCATATTGTTGTTGTGTGTATGTTATATTCTGAATACGGCTATAAATGTGTATCAAGCTTATTCTCATGTCTATTTCTGGTGTTAGTACTATTGTTACGGCTCATTTTGTGCGGAGACCGCGACGTCTGCGATAAAGCCGTGTCCTGGGCCTAGGTGCACTACATGGGACATCTTGGTGTGCTATACGAAGTTATCTTGAACCACATACGCGCTATTCCACACATGCTTGTTGTATTAATTGAACAGTACGTGGCGCAGGTAGAGAACAAACAGTTCAATAAAACGTTCGTTCGGATTATACGCTTTTATCAGCCGTGAAGTGCACCCGCCAGCAGTGAATGCCTTACTTGTACGTTTTCGTTCGTGTAGTACGCGTTCGTCGCCTCATGATCATCGTGACGTACGAAGGTGTAGGCAGGACTGTTTCTTGTACTTATACGTTTACGTTTTGGGTATAGGAACCCCCCATAGTAGAACAGTACACGGACGACGAGCGAGCGGAAATGAATGCCGTGGAGATAGAAACACTGCATGACCAATTCGGAGAAGCGTTCCAGGTGAGTGCCTGTGCTGCTCAGTACAGGCGTTATATAGTATATGGGGTACGTATATATTATATACGTACCCCATATACTATAAAGTACAGGTATTCGTATATATGTTATATGTATTATATATACCCCATGCAAGCTTTTCAGAATACGTAGCTCGTGTGTGTGCTCTGATACTTTACAGATCCGTGTCTGTACTACTGAGTACAGGCATTTGTATATATATTACATATACACCATGTAAGCATGACGGTTTCTGTACTACTAAGTGTAAGCATTTGTTTATATATTACATATACACTATGTAAGCATTTGATGTCAGGGCTGTACTACTAAGTACATGCATTTGTATATGTTTTGTACTCAACCCATATACTACAATGTACAGGCTTTCGTATATGTATTGTATATGGCTCATGAATGTGTAGGGGGTTGATCCTGTGCTGTGTGTACGTGGTTTGTGACATGTTTGGAGGTTTGGATGTCCTCATGGAGTGGGTGATATATTTGGTATCGTCCTGTTGTGTGGTTGCATATGGTGCCACCGTCTACTACCTTCTGTGTCGTACACTGCAGATTTTGATACAATTCAGCAAGTCATGAGGCCCTACACAGATACTCGCACACAAACACGACTAGGGTTTTAGGGTTTTAGCTGTATATACCTTCCCTCAGTATGGCGTTCAATAAGATTGGCTCTACACTTCCTGTTTCAGTCTCCGCCACAGTCTCAGTGTCACAATTACACGCCTAAATGTTTAACATAGACGAGCAACAAGGATCAGACATTCACCATCACGTTCAACGCCGACTGGGATGAACTCAACGGACCAGACAGCACAGACACACACACTCTCTCTCTCTCGCACAGAGGTGGCAGAGGCAGAGGGAGGGGCCGGGGGTGGGGGGGGGCATGTGAAGGGCAGGGGAGGGGTCAAAGGAGGGGTCAAAAAAGGCTTACAGTTGGACGATGTACCCGGTATGTGAGGAGCTGGGTTTCTGCATGGGGGTTGGGGTTTTAGGGTATAGGGTTTCATAGGCTGTTATGTGATGTACTTTGTTGGTAGACAGTGTTGGGGGTTTAGTTTATATATTCTATGTAGAGCAAAGTGGGGAGTCGGGTGACTCATACATATCCAATCTAGTTTTTATATGGCGTAAACTAATTTTATATGAAATACACTGATTTTATATGGCACAAACCAATTTTTATTTGGCACGTCTATGAATAGAGTAGGATTGTAATTGAGAGTGCTTAGTATTGGGAAGGGGCGTGTAGGTGAAGGATATATCCGTAGGACTACATATACACTACTTATACATACATATATACTACATATACACTACACATATACTGCATACAAATTTATCAATTAGGTATCCACTACATTTATAGCTATATATATAGCACTTAAAATCTACATCTACACATACTACACTATGTTGAAACGGTTAAACTATATATACATGTGTAGACACCGTTAATACTGTATCCACGAAGGCACATATGCGTGTATATATATGTATATATTATATATGGTGCTGTTGTGCATAATGTATATGTACATATATATACCCAATCACTTCTATTCTATA